AAATAGCCACAGTTTCAACAATAATCAAAATTTAGCCACTTTTCATGTAAGATAAATCTGAACGAAAATACTGTTCAAAATTTGAAAAATACTCCAACATAATATATTGGAGTTCCAGCATAAGCATACTGGAATTCCAGTATATTATAATGGAGTTCCAGCATAAGCATACTGGAACTCCAACATATTATAATGGAGTTCCAGCGTAAGTATACTAGAACTCCGGCACAAATATACTGGAGTTCCAGTATAATATACCGGTCCAGTATAATATGCTAGAAGTTCATACACAAATGCTCTAATCTCCAGTATATTATGCCGGAACTTTCCGCGTGTTGGAGTTCTAGCATAATATGCTGGAAGTTCATACACATGTACACCGATCTCCAATAATTATGCTGGACCGGGCCCTGTTGCAGCAAAATAATGGCTATTTTTCAATAATTTTACAAATGCTGACTATTTTTGAATGACCGTCCGAAAAGTGACTAGCCTGTGCTATTTTAACAAGGTGTCACTACAAAAAAAACAATATATATATATATATATATATATATCCATTTTTGGGGTTTTCTTATTTTAATTCTGTCTTTTTGCGATGTTATTTTTACTCTTTTTAATTGTTCTATTAAGTCGTCTACTTTTGGAATTTCTACTTCAGTCGTTTTCTCTTTTTCTTTAATAATTTTATCTAGTTTTTTATTGATTTCTAAAAGTAATACTATTAAAGTATTATTCTGTTATATATAATAAACACAAAAGGACATGGAGAAGGAAAGAAAAGGCAAGAAGAACGGGGTCGTAATGCAGCGCGAGAATTTTCTTTCATCTCACCTAACGTGCCATTAGATTACTACTCCCTCCGATCCACAAATAAGTGACCAATTTTTTTTTATATTTTGATTCAAAATAAGTATTCATTTATATAATCAAGAAAAAATTCAATTTGTTTTTATAAAACTACCCTTATATACATATTCTTAAAATATTTTCTTACCCCTCACATTAAATATTTAATTAAGGGTAGTTTAGTCAAACTAGGTATTTCAGTATAGAATTTAGTATTTTTTTAATGGGCGTGCCAAAAATAAATTGGTCAATTATTGTGGATCGGAGAAAGTAGTACATATTTGCTGGAGGAGACGCAAGCAAGATTTGAACTTTATGGATTTGAATTTGAAATTTTAATAGCATTTGATGTGCCAATTTTGAAATGGAAAAATCCTTTTGGCCTAACTAAATTTGGCCAGATTGACCCAAATGGGGTTAATTTAGTCTTTTTACGCCATTATTAGGGTAAATTACGTTTTTCAATACCCATAATACCCTTTTACTTTATTTTTAATTATTTCTCCCACCATTTATTGTTTATCTTCTCAATGCATGGAAGAGCTCAAAAGGTAAACTTATTTCGTTCTTCTTCAATTGTACAAAGTTTTTTTTTTTTTTTTTTTTTACGTATTTACAGCCCTTTTTTTATTAATATACACCCATATAATCCTCCATAATTAAATCTATATACATGTATTTTATTGGGCATTTCGTATAATTTTTAGTATTTGATTTGTATTTCGTATATTTTATAGTATAATACGGTCTTCCATAAAATACATTTAAACAAACATATATGTACTAAAACTTACTTAAACAAATATTCCTTGGCCGAAAACCTACTTAACCAAATATTCTTTGGCCGAACATCTACTTAACCAAATCATTTTCTGGCCGAAAACCTAGTTAAACAAAATCCTTCATTTAAACTCTTATCCTCTCCATTTAGTTAATAGATTAAGGACGCATTCTAAGAAGAATAGTCCTTCAAAAGTGTATGTTGTATTTTCGGGTAAAAGGCCGGGAATATACTACTCATGGAGTGAATGTTCTCCAATGGTTATCGGGATTAAGCGTAGCATCTTCCAGTCTTTCAAGTCTCATAGTGCGGCCATATCGGCGTTCGATGAATATGAAAAATCTGTTGAAGGTAAACAAAAACTCAAATCTATGGTGTTTGTTGTTTATTGTGGGAAGAAGCCGGGTATATACAAATGTTGGTCTGAGTATGTTAAAATGCTTGTTGGAGTCGAAGGTAGCTACTTTCATGCTTTCCAATATTATGATGAAGCCTTAGAAGCCTTCAAAAATTTTCAAAAAACAAGTTGTTCACAAGAAGAGTCATCTTCAAGCTCGACCGTTGAAGAAAGTGAAGAAGTGGTAACAAATGAACATGCAGCAAGTGTTATTTCAACTGCTATGTTAGCGGGCATATTTATAGGGTTGAAGCTTTATAAAAATATTGGAAATTAATTATGTCAATTGTAGGTTTTATGTTATCTTGTGTTTGAAAGTGTTTTTTGTTTCTCTTTGGTTTGCAAGGATGTTACTTTTACCTTTGATTATCTAGTATTGTAATGAAGTTGGGCATGATTATATATATGAAGTTTGATTTTGTTAATTGCTTAACATTTCGATCATGTTTAATGTGCCATTTTAGCATTCAACTTATGCATGATCACTATGGCATTTGTTGTGAGGTTAAGTAAGTGTTTCGAGTATTTCGGGAAAAGGGTGAAGCATTTTTTTCAAGTTTGGCTTTGAATTAAAATGGCTGTTTGGAAGTCCCTCCAGTTGCTTATTTCTTTTGCTTTTTTCTTTTCTTCTAAGTTTATGGAATTTGTAGTTAGATTTCTGGAAGACTTTCAAAAGAGGAAGCATTTTATGTAAAGGTTCAGACTTTTCTTACTATGGCTCGGATTGAGTGAAATATTTATTTCCTTGTAGGAATGCTATTGAATCCTCATTGTTTAAGCAGTGGTTAAAGAACATACAAGCTGAGACAGTACTGCTGGCTAATGGAGCTATGTCTTTAAGACAAGTTCTTATTCAGGTCTCAATCTCAAGTTGTTCTTTTAAAGTATGAAGATTGTTTGTTCACTAGCTTCGATGAATTACATTGTTGCCAGAGCCCTTCTAAATTTATTAAAAATTGGATAATTCTGGAGGAAAATGGCATGTCTTTTTATCTTGCTGACACTGCTTAGCTACATTATTAGGGTTTGAATAGGTTAGGGTTTGCTATTGTTCTGTATTTTGTATGAATCCTTACTCAAATATGAATAGGTTAGGGTTTGTTGTTTGTATATAAACCTTTGAGCTAAAGAATCATATAAAAGAAAGAGGAGGAAATACTAAATAGATATTGCGAAATTATATTAAATCATTAGTGTTGCATTCGATGTGTATGTTTTCTGTATTCGAATGCATTTGGTTAAATATTTGTGAAATTATACACATCAAAGGAGCGATGTTAAATATTTTGAAACAACCAAACAAAAATAGTGTTAGAATCAAATTAAAAGAATGCGCAAGAAATACTAAATATATATTTTTTTCATTGATAATATTGTTGAACAACTTTTCATAATAGTCCAAATTATATTTGGACAATAATTTTAGCATAAAATGCTAAAAAAACATAGCCATAATAATAATAAAAAAACAAAATAAAACCCCTATCTCCTTAAAACTCTATTCAGATGGTTGATTAATAGACTTTGACACCTTCGAAGTGGCCTCTGTGTCACTGCTAATAACAATAACAGGAGCATTTGGTTCTTCCTCCTGCTCAGACAGGAGTTCTTCAAACATGTCATAGCAAGTTGTTAGCGGGTAGGAATCCAGCAGCACCCTTTTGACATAATCTTTTCCTATTTCCCTTGTGATCCTCAACATAAGCAAGTTGGTCTCAGTCTTCAAGTTCTTTAACTTGTTTCTAACGTCATGATACAATATATTGTGGTTAACAGGTGAACCTTGGAGAGGTTCATCGATTTTCTTTGTCGGGGTTCTATTCATTGTTGGTTGTCACAAAATCTTGATTTAGAAGAGATAAGTTGAATTATGATGTTAATAGTGTAGTTGTATTTATAGGGTTAGGGTTAGGGTTTATAATTTTTCAAATTAATTGAATCACAATTCTCTTCAAATAAGACTTCACAATTTTCAATCAAACCATTTAGATTCCTCAAAATTGATTTTAATGAACTATGCTTAAGAAAACGTAGGATTATCTGCTTTCTTACTGCATTTTCCAGTAAATTTTTCTTCTAAATGTTTATTAGAATAATTTTTTGTCTAGTAAATTATTAGAATAATTATTTGTACAATTAGAATAGTTTTTTATCCATTCCAGTAAATTATTAGATATGGTTTTGAAGTAAAATTTCTAGTATAATACAAACGAAATCATAAAAAAAATTGCACAAATAATTTTCTCCATTCCTAAAAAGAGCTGAATGCAATGAGCTTCTCAATGAAGCATTTAGAAATATGGATAATAAGTAGATATCGACGCTAGTTAATTACGCTGTTGCGCTTTATATATAGTTACATTGAACGTATATACATATATAACAAGTATATATAGGTTCCACTAGTCAATTGACAACGATCGTTCTATTTCGGATATAGTGATCAATTAAATTATGAAATATGGATAATAAGTAGATATCGACGCTAGTTAATTACGTTGTTGCGCTTTATATATAGTTACATTGAACGTATATACATATATAACAAGTATATATAGGTTCCACTAGTCAATTGACAACTATCGTTCTATTTCGGATATAGTGATCAATTAAATTATGAAATATGGATAATAAGTAGATATCGACGCTAGTTAATTATGTTGTTGCGCTTTATATATAGTTACATTGAACGTATATACATATATAACAAGTATATATAGGTTCCACTAGTCAATTGACAACGATCGTTCTATTTCGGGATATAGTGATCAATTAAATTATGAAATATGGATAATAAGTAGATATCGACGCTAGTTAATTACGTTGTTGCGCTTTATATATAGTTACATTGAACGTATATACATATATAACAAGTATATATAGGTTCCACTAGTCAATTGACAACGATCGTTCTATTTCGGATATAGTGATCAATTAAATTATGAATAATCACTGGATTTCCATTATTTTTTTTTATAACTGAATAATCACTAACGATGAATTTCTCAACACCAGGGACAGCTCGATGATCGTCGGGGCTGCTGACTTCACAATGGTACAATTCCTTAGTTGTGTCTTGAAAAATTCATACACTGTACGCGTATAACACTGAATTGCCTGCTCCTCCCACTTGAACATTGACTCACACACAATATGAAAGCCCTTTGACCTGTATTCCGCTTCCAACTCTTTCTCATGCTTAGCTCTTAGAGCTAACTCATACCGGTGAACAAACATCCTAAGAGTGCTTTGATGGGTAATATATCCATCGAAGAACGCATGCATACCCTCACTTCTTTGCGTAGATAGCATGCCAGCCCAAAAATACACATCAAGGTACACGGGAACCCATTTTTCTTTCTCAGAGTAAAGCTTGTTGAACCAATTCCTTGTACGCAAATTATACCTTGCAATATAGTCTGCCCATTTTGTCTCAAAAACTTCAACACTGATGCTATCAAGGACCATGGATTTGAATTCTCCACGTGCAATTTTAGAAGGACGAACACCACTTAAGTAAATAGGCAACTTTGAAAATATATGCCAAATACAATACCTATGTATTGTATTTGGCATCACCTCAGCAAGGGCTACCTTAATGCTCTGACACTGATCAGTTATGATCGCATCTGGATGAATATTTCCCATGGCATCAAGCCAAGTTCTAAAAACCAATTTATAACTATCGATATCTTCATGAGACATGAGAGCACATCCCAGTAAAATGGACTGCCTATGGTGATTGATGCCAACAAATGTTGCGCATGGCATATTATATTTATTCACAAGGTACGTCGTATCAAAGCATATCGCATCATGGAATTGCTCATACGCCGACTTACAGTGCGAATGCACCCATACCACATTTCGAAGCCTACCAAAATTATCAACGTCTATTGAATAGAAAAATTCCCTATCCTTTACCTGCATTTCACGAAAAAAGTTGAGCAGCGACTGTGCGTCCCCTTCTTTCATTTCAAAATTCCTGCTCTTCAAAATATAGTTTCTACAATCCTTTGGAGTGCAACCCAGATTTTGAGGTCCACCACGTTGAACCTCAGCAAGCCTAATATTCTTGGAGGGTCTAATGCCAGATATATCGTGAGCTACAAGATCCCTCTTCAAAGAATCACAAACGGACCTATGTCCCGCCATCAGTCGCGATACGGATGGGAGCAACTCATGGTTGTGATCGTGAACGACCTTTGATACGCGCCAAGAACCATATTCATCCAACACAGCAGCTAGCCTAGCTTTACAGTCGTTACTCTTGGTGGTAAACTTGGTTCGGCGAATCCTAGCCCTATCACAACAGAAAGTTAGGTATTTGGCCGTGGCACCACCCTTCTTGTTGGAATTTCGTTTGACGACAGAGAATCCTTTCAGTTTAGCATGTTCTTTGTAGAATTCAAACAAAGAATCTTTATCTCTAAATCGCGTTCCAGAGATAGGACCTACAACTACATCCTCTTCAGTGAATTCATTCTCCACTTCCGGATCAACATCACATAACACTAACTCATTTCCTAAAACCTGCTCCTCATCGTCGTTAGTTTCTCCGTGATATTCTCCATCGGGTTCTTCATCATCATCATCATCTAAGTGCACAGCATTGTTGAAATTGCCGTGAGAATCAACATCGACTTCAACATTCAATAAACTATCGTCCGATGTCATCCCTAAAGATCTATACAACTCATCCCTAACCCGATCAAGCCTAGTTTGTTGGTTCATATTCGTGGTTGTTGTATTTGTATTGTGCTCACTTGGATTCATATTTTCTTGCACCATCGAATTTTCTTGGGTTGAATCCATGTTTTAGATAGGGTAAAGTGTCCCTTCACTTGGTTTGATACGAAGGAAGAAGAATAATAAATCGTATAGGAAGAAGTTCCAATCGTATATACCGTATAAAGGAAGAAAATATACTGTATATACCGTATAAAGGAAGAAAATATAATAATTTGTATTTTATAATTTGTCTAATGATAAAATACACATAAATACAATTGATATACACAAATATAATACAAGACTCTTTAGCTCCCTTATTAAATTTTCGCATAGTTCAAGACTAGAATTTAATTTTGTGTTTTTGGAGGGAAAAATGTAGGCTTAATACATAGAGGGGCTTGGTTGTCTTTTTACCGGTGTGGCCAAAGTTGGGACACACCAGTTGGGTCGTTTAGCAACTCTCTTTTTTTTATTACAGGACTCTCTTTCCTGGTGCCGCTTGAATTGATAGAATAAAAGTGTTGGATCTTTCAAAAAAAAAAAAAAAACTTGGGAATTTTGTTTTCACTGAAAATTCTGATTTTAAGCAAGTCAAGGGCAACTAGAAGTTAATTGACACGTGATGTAATAAAGAAAAGAGAAAAGAATCACCAACCTTGTTTCTTTCTTCGTGTCAATTTGATGTTTTTTCTCCTTTTTTATTGGCTCGTAATTTGTACATAATGGCTTAATACATAGTTTAATTGTCTTTGAACTTATAGTAAAATTCCTATTGCACACTCCTTAGTTACATAAAAATTTCTTAACATGGTGTGATATTATTTGCTCTAAATCTATATATTTTTTTCCAAAAGGCTTCACATTATTAAAAGATTACTATACCTTATATGGTCAAAATGGCATGGTATAGCCATTTTTACGGGTGATTATTGGAAATGGCCAGTATTTATAAAGTTACTGAAAAGTAGCCACTATTTAAGGCGAAAATAAAATATGAACAAATGCAATATGCTAATTGTGAAACTCCTGTGTATAAACTTCCTGCATATTATATTGGAATTTTTCTGAATTTTTTGGGATATTTTTGTTCAGATTTTGTTTTAACATGAAAAAGTGACTAAATTTTTATTACTTTCGAAACTATGAATAGTGTTCAATTAGCAGTTGTAAGTCAGACTATTTTTTATTTTTTTCCTTTATACGTAAGCTCTTAATCTTTTCAGTTACGGACTATTTTTTTTTTCTTTTTCGAGTGTGTTTAAGAACCTTTTAAATTCATAGATTTCTTTCTAAATTCACCAATGTTGGAAAAAATGGATTATGGAGAATAAGATTTAGCTTGAGGAGTGTCAAGGACACTGCCCTTAAAGATATTTCGCCCATACCGTGATGAATAAAATTAGGCGTATCCCCCAAAATTCAACAAGCTCTTCTAGTATAAACTAAGAGCTGAAACAACAAAGATTAACAAGACAACCCAGCACAATATGAGTTTTTTTTTATTTTTTCACTTTCTTCCGAGATGAAGACAAAGAGGTATATATAGTCTAAAAAAGAAGTACGCTATCTGTTCCATATTACAGGCTATTCCAAAAAAGTAGACGATCAGAAACGATCAAGCCATAAAGGCTATTCCAAATTACAATACGTTAAATCTGCCAAAATTTCACGGTATAGTCAGTTTTCGGACTGGTCAATCAAAAATAGCCAGCGTTTACCAAGTCAATGAAAAATAGCCACCGTTTTGCTGCAATAGAGACCGGTCCAGCATAATATACTGGAGTTTCGGTGCACTTGTGTATGAACTCCAGCATATTATGCTGGACCGGTGATGATAGGCTATAATTGCATATTTTAGTCGCTTATTACACTCGAATTTACTGCACTTTAATTGAGTTTGCGCTTTAATCGCTAGTGTTTTGCACTAATTGTGTGTTTTATGCCTTGTAGGTGTGATTCCGAGCTATATAGATGTTATGGAATGAATTTAAGTGATTTGAAGCTTTGAAGTCTGAGTAAAAGCTCAAGGAATTAAGCCGGGATCGTGTTCGGGGGTCAAATTTGATAATTAAGTACGAACGAAGACTTGAGGAGGCATATTGCGCACTGTCTAGTAAAATAGACATAACTTTTTGCTCAGAACTCCATTTGGGCTCCACAATATATGTTTGGAAAGCTAACTCAAAGGGCTACAACTTTCATGTTTTATGTTTTTCCAAATTCCAAACAGAACAGGGTGAAAAATCGCGGTTTTTCCGCGACCGCGGCAGAACCGCGGTAGAAGATGGTCGCGGACAACTGAAGAATCAGAGGGCATGTTTGGCCGCGGTTCCACCGCGACCACGGCAAAACCGCGGCAGGAAGCGAAAATTTCAAGGACTAAAGTGCAAAACATGGGATTTTATGTCCTAAACCCTATATTAAACAAAGGAGGCCGGCCAAGAACAAGAGGGGACATATTTTGGACATAGATTCGACCTAAGGAGGCAAAAACACATTGGGAGCAAGGAGGAGAATTCTTCTACGAGTTTTTTCCTTCCTCTTCCTATTTTTCATTGTTGGTTATGACTTTTAGTATTGTAGTTTTACACACTATTATGAATAGCTAATTTGTTATCTAGAGTTTTGATAGAACCTTTTGTAGGATAAATTCTTGTTATGTTTTTATATAATTGATCCATAGCTTTTCTCTATTTGTTCAACTACGTTTATATTGTGGTTGATTGAAGAGCTCTCAATTAGCTGTGCCTATTTAGTATGCATAACTCGGGAGAGAGTGCATATTTAGGTAATTGTTGAACACCACCACTCCCAGAGTATATGAGGGATCAATAACCGAGGGTTTAAAGGCGGGATTAGGGATAACGAAGCCTTGGGTGCGATCTGAAGTGAGCTGTATTAAAAGCCAGCTAGCGTAGCTTGGGAGAGTGCGTCTAGTAAATTGTCGTAATTACTCGGGAGAGATTTACGGTAATAAGAGTGCTCATGATCGGTAGAGAATACTTAGGCGAAACTATAGAAGACATAGCGGGAATGATTCCAACAATTGGGGAAATCATAACTCTAGACCTCCTTAATCTTTTCTCTAACCCTCAGTATCGTTAGTTGTTAATTTACTATTTTAATTTGTTATTTAAGTAGTTAAACACAAGAATCTTAATATCTATAAGTTAGGAATTGTTCAAGCTTGTCTTCTTGGTGATAGTGAACAGTTGTAGCTAAACCTTAGTTCTCTGTGGGATTCAACTCCGGACTTGTAAACCGGATTATATTTGCAACGACCGCATTGTCCTTTTTATAAGGCATAGTTGGGCGTGATCAACCGGTATACTTTGCTGGCTCCAGTATAATATACTGGAGACTGGAGCACTGGTGCTCCAAACTCCAGTATATTATACTGGACCATTATACTTGCTGGAACTCCAGTATATTATGCTGGAGTTCTAGTGTATTTATGCTGGAACTCCGTCATATTATGCTGGAGTTCCAGCATACTATCCTGGAACTCCGTCATATTATGCTGGAGTTCCAGCATAGTATGCTGGAACTCCAGTATAATATGCTGGAGTTCAAGTATAATTATGCTGGAACTCCAGCATAATATACTGGAGTAATTTCCGGGTTTTGACCAGTGTTTTCGCTCAGATTTATCTTTACATAAAAAGTGGCTAAATTTCGATTACTTTTGAAATTGGGCTATTTTTGAACGACCAGTTGTAAATCTGGCTATTTTTAAAAATCACCTGTTAAATCTTAAGCCATTAAGATTGGTCCATTGACTTTTTAATACTAACGTACAAATTCATACTAATGAGCATTCAATTGTCTGATTTATTTTGTCCCAATTGAATTCAAAAATAAATTAATTTTTTGTTATAAATATATTTATAATAATTATTATAATTAAGACTCATTAATATAATAGTAAAAAAATAAATTTGGACATAATTTTAAAATATTTCTTTTTAAGGTATCAGAATTATTTTCCTATCAACCAATGTTGTGTAGCATAATTGTTTAATTATTGAAGTATCTTTTATCACGTGGAGAAGTTATTGTTTTGATGCAATGATTCACGGCACACTCGACAAGCTCACGGTAACCTCTACACCACTTGTCAGCATTTCGCATTTTGTCAAATTAAGTGATTGAACCAATGGATCTAAGATTGCCGTTCTCGCTTTGGACTATCTTTTTCTTATGTCCCCTTTTTTGTCGCCTTCTCCACTTCCTATTCCAATTACTTTTTTCTTTCGTTTCTCATCCGATATTTGGTACCTATATTAGAGCACAAGTATATCTGAATTCACACTGCATAAGGCCCCATTCGGAAAAAAATACTTCTTACCAAAAATTTTTTATAACCAGAACTCGAACCCAAAACTTCTAATCAAGGGAAAAGCAACCCCATTGGTACACCACATCCTTTGGTGGTCCAAGTACTCCGCTTTACGGGTACCAATATTATTGGAGTAGTCCAACTTGGGGATTTAACATTTCTTATGCCTAATTATTTATAGGAGACTCATATTTTTGGATCACATTACATTCCTTAAATCGTTAATTAGATATTTTGAAAGCTCAAAATCTATTTGAAAACCAAGTCCACATGATATTTGGTTAAAATATCATGGTATAGCCAGTTTTCACACTGGTCAATGAAAAATAGCCAGCGTTTATCAAGTCAATAAAAAATAGCCACTATTTTGCTGCAACAGGGACCGATCCAGTATAATATACGGGAGTTCTGGTGCATTTGTGTACGAACTCCAACATATTATGCTGGACCGGTATACTTTGCTAACTCCTGTAAAATTTGCGGGAGACTGGAGCACCAGTGCTCCAAACTCCAGTATATTATACTGGACAATTATACTTGCTGGAACTCCTGCAAATTTTACGGGAATTATCCTGGAACTCCCGTAAAATTTGCGGGAGTTCAAGCATACTTATGCTGGAACTCCCGTAAAATTTGCGGGCGTATTTTTCCGGATTTTGAA